AAAAAAAAAAAAAAAAAATGGAGACTGGCGTTCTAGCTTGACTTCTGTTGCTGTGATACAACCACTGACCAAAATGCACTCAGGGAGGAAGGGTTTTACTTCATCTTACACTTTATAGTCCATCACTGACGGAAGCCACAATAAGAACTCAAGCAGAGATCATAGAGGAACACTGTTTATTGCCTTGCTCCCCTGGTGTGCTCAGCTACTTTTCTTATACAGCCCAGGCCCACATGCCCAGGGATGGCACCGCCCCAGGGTGGTCTGGGCCCTCCTATATCAACCAGCAATCAAGAAAATGCCCAATAGACAGGCCAACAAGCCAATCTGATGAAAGAAATTCCTCAGATGAGGGTCCCTTTTCCGGGTGTTTCTAGTTTGTGTTAGGTCGACAAAAACTAACAAGCACAACAGGTTACTGCTAAATTTCCCAAGCTGGCCTTGAACTTGCTCTTGTCTGTGATTCCTCAATAATCCTACTGTTCCCAGAAATATGTTAAGGTTTTAAAAAACAAGGGAGCCATGAAATCTGATAAGCAGGATTATAGAAATATACCATTTCTTTAAAAAAACAAACAAAAAACACTTCACAGGACAAATGCTAAGAACAACTTCTGTTTTGTGCAACTTGTTTGAGTAATATGTGCACATGCACTGGAGAGCAAAGGTAAATTCTGCTCTTGATCCCGTTCCCTTGGACCTCTGCTTGGAAGGCTCATTTATTAGCCAGGATGACAGTGCATGCCTGAAATCCTAGAATTTGGGAAGTGGAGGAAAGAGGATCAGGGGTTTGAGGCCAGCCTTGGCTACATAAGACTGTCTCCAAAAACCAAGAAAAGAAACCTCACTTTGGATCATCCAGCCTTCATCTTTTCTTTTCTTTAGTTCTTTCCTACCAGGATTTAAACAGGCTTAAGTTACTCTTTGATCCCAGTGCCTCCCTATCAGTTAAGTCTCTGCAAATGAGAAAACCAGATTTTCTCACCTTCACTGCAAGCTGGATTTTAGTATTACCTGGTACTTTAAATGCTCTCACTAAGGAACTTCAAGTTCACACTGGAATGTTCTATTCCTTAAGAATTCTTTGGTGGGGTTTGAGAGATGGCTCAGTGTTTAAGAGCACTGGTTGCTTTTGCAGAGGACCCAGCTTCAGTTCCCAGCACTCCTAACAACTATCTGTAACTCCAGTTGGAGGAGATCGGATGCCCTCTTCTGACCTCCCAAACCCTGTGGTGGCAGATAACATTGTTTAACCTTCTAGTATAACCCTCTCTTGTGGCTTGTTTTCCCATCATACCCTCCTGATTTTCCTTTTCTCCACCACTGAACTTGCCTGACCTTCTTTTCCTCTGTCCATCCTTAAATGTTGACTTTTTAAATAGGTACTCTTTCTACCCAACAAGAGTGATCTCTTAACCACTAAGTACTATCATTGTCAGTCCTGGGCTCCAGATTTTCCATCTCTAGTCCTAATCTGACTTCTAACATACAATCCTAGCTGTTTTCACAGGGCATAAATCTGGCGGCTTAACTGTATTTGTACTCTATTTTCATCTCTATCATTAAAATTTTCCTTTTTGCTATACTAAATTATCTACCTAGGGTCAAACTAACAGTATAAGCTATGCACCTGACTTTTGAGGTTTGGATTCCAATCGTACTAATTCTTATGCTACTAAGTATTCATTTGATTAACTCTGTACCTGGGTGATCCTGGCTTTTTTTTTTTTTTTTTTTTTTTTTTTTTTCCAATTTTTTTTAAAGATAGAGAGATAGGGTTTCCCTGTACCCCCAGACGGCCTGGAACTCACTATGGAGACCACGCTGGCCCTGATCTCACAGAAATCTGGCTGCCTCTGCCTCCTGAATGCTGGGATAAAAGGCATGACCCGCCCCGCCCCGGTCGCCGCCCCAAGTCAGGCACCTGAGCTTTCTTAGTCATAAAATAGAGGAAAAGAAGACTCCAAAACCGACAGGAGATTAAATGAGTCAATACATGGAAAGCCCTTAGACTATCTGGAGTACTACAAGGCACTCACTAAGTACTGGTTTAATTATGCTACTGGATCTTGTAACATGAAACTTTACTGTGTGTTAGTCTTATAACTAATTCTACATTTTTGCTTCTTAATATCAGATTAATACTTTCTACATTCTTCACACACACACAAAAAAAACCCACATATCTTTAACACACACATTATTTGGCTTTTGGGTGGTTTTAGGAAGTTTCTTCTCATTCTTTGTTAGGACTTTCATTATTATGAGTGATTTAAAATTACCTCAGTGATCACTAACCCAAACTTTCCATTTAATACTAGAGTACATTATCTGTCATTCAGCTGTTATGTGTTTCATATTGGAGCACTGCTTTGCCAGGCCAAATTCTGATCCCTCTAATTTTCCACTCAACCTATGCCTGATCTTAGGATCAACTCACAAGAGGCAGCTCACTTCTAACATGAAGCTGATCCAGTTCCTCCAACTTCTCACATAATATTTCTATTCTTTTTGCATTTGTGGACACTCTGGGGCTCCAATTTGCACTTGGAGTCACTGAAAAATTCTGTCTGGTTTCATAGCACACACACCTAAGACCAACCCTCCCTCCCCATCACTAGATAGTAATTTTAAAAACTATTTTATTTTTTGTGCATAAATGTCATGCCTGCATGTGTGTAAGTGCACCCATGCTCTGCGAAACCCTCGGTGGTCAGAAGAGGATGTTGAATCCCCTGGAACTGGAGTTACAGATGGCTGTTAGTTACCATGTCAGTGCTGAGATCAAACCTAGGTCCTCTGCAAGAACAGCCAGTGCTTTTAACCACTGAGCCATCTCTCCAGCCCCCAGATAGTAATTTTTATTAAGTGGGTTTAATTCTATGAAAATATTTAAAAGCTATGAGTTATTCAGCACTGCTGCTGATTGAATACTCAACATATTTCTGTTATAGTTTGTTTCTCAATTGCTGTGAAAAACACTGAACAATCCAACTTGGGGAGAAAGGGCTTATTCGGCTTACATCTCCTTGGTCACAGTTCATTAAGGAGCCCAATATAGGAACTCAGGACAGGAACCTGGAGGCAGGAGCTGGAGCACAGGCCATGGAGGAACGCTGCTACTGTCTGGTTTTTGTCCCCTACTCAACCAGCTTTCTTATACAACATAGGCCCACGTGCGCAGGGGTGGCACCACCCACAGTGGGCTGGGCCCTCCCACATCACTCACAATGGACGCAATTCACCAGTTGAGGCTCCGACTACCCAGGTATGTCAAGTTGACAACTAAAGCTATCCAGAACAATTTCCATTGTTCATCTTTCTCAATTTTCCTCTTTTCTGCCACTACTTCATTCATACTGCAGTCTCTGTTACAACACAGTTCTGCTTTGATCTAGGAAAAACTTCAATTAGGGTTTCTATCTTATCTGTCACTTATCACTTTATCTGCCACCTTGCCATCTAAGTAGTTCTTAACTTTCTCCACTTCAAGATCATAATCTCAAGCACCAAGAATTCCCTTCCCTCAAGTTTGATCTGCTTCACAGCGCTGTCTAACTCACCAAGCCAACCACTCCATTCCTGAATGAAAATCTCAACTGCCACCTCTTCTGGTGCTAAAGGAAGCTGTTGAAGCAGGACACCAGGACATACAGGTCTACATCTCCAGCCAAGTCCAACAATCTTTATTCATGTTCAAGCCACTGTACACCAGGGATTCGGAGGTATTATCAACAAGAGCATTTTAGAGTCATTCTGCCTGGCTTCATATCTCAGATGAATCTTACAATCTTGTCATTTGGGCAAGTTAGTCAGTTGCATAAGGGGGATAATAAATTCCTATTCGATGAAAGTCAACAGTCGTAACAACTATAGATGCACACCAAACTCCATGGAATTACGTGTCTTTGTGGTATCTTCTTTAGGATAATACTTCACAAACGTCACACTATTTTCTATCATAGAATGTCTTCTTGTCTCCTTTCTGGCTGCCAAAATATTAAGTCTGTTGAGAACCTCAATATCTGATCTTCTATGGAACCTTTGCAGATATATACACCCATCCACAATTTTATATGTAGTCTTTTAAAAAACATTTAAAAAATTTTAATTATGCAAATGTGTGTGTCTAGTATGGTATGGATATGTGTACGTGAGTACAGGTGTCTATGGAGGCCAGAGGTGTCAGATCCTCCAGAAACTGGAGTTTCAGGCAGTTGTGAGTTGTCTAATGTGGTTGCTGAGTATTGAACTAAGGTCCTCTGAATGAGCAACAAGTGCTCTTAACCACTGAGCCATTTCTCCAGCCCTAAATTAGTCCATTTGTTCTCCTATTATATATTTGGATTTATTCTACTTTGCTCTTGATTTTATGCTGTCTAGAATTCTTTTCTATAACTTAGGCCAATTACAAATTTAAGTTCTGGGGGCTGGAGAAATGGCTCAGTGGATAAGAGCACTGGCTGCTCTTGTAGAGGACCCAGGTTAGATTCCCAGGACACATATGCCAGCTAACAATGGTGCCTAACTCGAGTTCCAGGGGATCTGACACCCTCTTCTGTCCTCTGAAGGCACTGCATGACACTGGTGCATTTACACTCATGCAGGCATGACACTCATACACACATTAAAAAAAAGAAAAAAATTAAGTTCCCTGTCAGTGAGAACTTTGTTAGCTACTTCTGCTGTAGCAGCAACAGCAGTGTTCAACTATTAAGAAGCATACTTTAAACAAACTGAATAAGATTAGAATTACTCCCCTAAAATCATTCTACAATAATTCATTTCTCAAGGAAGAATTAAGTTGTAACAACTGAAATGCCAAAAAATGACTCCCAAATAAAGTTACAAAAGAGCACTTCTCAAACTTTTTTCCGAAAATTCGCATTAATTTCTAGAGCGGTTTTTCTTTTTTTCTTTTTTTTTGCTAATTTTCATATACGTAACTGACACTTAAAATAGTATTTAGATTGTGGCTCCCTTTTCCTTCACTGGATAATGCACACTACAAACACCAAAAACTCAAGATACTTTCAAGAATATTTTATGCCAGACCTATTCCCATCCACGGGAGGACTGTGCTCCAGCACAAACACTTGCTCTTTTATAGTTTATAACAAACACGTGGTTGCCCTAAGATTTCAAAGTACCTTCGACAGTGAATGATTTGCTTGCATTGAGGGTCAAATGCGAACCTCAAACTTCCACATTCCCTACCGCCTTAGGGTCATGGGGTGCAGCAGCCAGGCGCGTTCATCACGGCCTCTCTTCCAGGAGTCTACCTCCGGAGCATCTTCGGTGGCCTCCTCCTCTCCGTGCGGAAGCTGAGGAGACCAAGATCGCCTCTCCGGGGCTGACAGGAGCGGCCTGGTGCCCGAGCGGATTCTTACCTGCGAAGCGGATCTTCACGAGGTCGAGCGGGTGCAGCGCGAGGTTGGACAGGACCCCGCCGCTCACGCCCGCCACCAGGTTCTCGTACCGCACGTGGCGGAACACGGCACTCCACGCAGACGAACCGGCCGCCGGCTGGCCCTGGCCCGTCATAGGCTCGGGGGTCGTGGACACCACAGCGCCTAGCGCCGTGGACTTGGGGCGAGATGCAGTGGCCGCCACCGTGGCGACAATCGCAGCCCACGATGCGGGAGCCGAGCAGGGAGATCCCGGGACCCAAGGGGCGTGGAGGATGGAGCGCCAGCAGTTTCCCGGCCGCCCAGCCTCGCCAACGCAGCGGCGTGAGCTGGTAGGAACCCCCAGGTGAGCGACAGCTGAAAGCTCCGCCCCCCTCCAGCCCGAGCCTGCTCAACTACTGAGCACCGCGAGGTCCAAATCTTCGACGCTGCGGAACCTCGGAGCCGGAAGAAGTCTGTCGGAGGCGGAAGTCGTAAGTCCGGCGGAGACCGCGGGGATCCCAACCCGGCTGGTGGAATTCCAGAGTGAGAGTTGCCAAAATGAAGGTGAAAATGCTGAGCCGGAACCCCGACAACTATGTCCGTGAAACCAAGCTGGATATACAGAGAGGTGAGACGAGTCCTTCCCGACTCGTTGGTCTGACCGAATTTCGAGCCGTGACGGTGGGGGGAGGCCAGCGCTCCGGTCTCTGTTCTCCCCGGTGACTTAGTCCACACCCGGCCGTAGCGTATCCAAGCAGCACATGGCGTCTCGCTAAGTCTTTAAGATTTTCTAAGAGTTTTTCTCTAGTAGGAAGTGGTTATGTCTAGGAAGAATGCTTCCGTGTTTCACTTCTATCAGTTCTCTGATTGTCTCAAATTTCCAGATGTTGGGAAGTGGAGTTTGAGGCAAACTCGTGGGTTGAGGGTTTAAAGCTTTTTTGTTTGTTTGACTGGCTTTTGGTTTTTTGAGACAGGGTCTCCCTGTAGCCCCAGCTGTCGTGGAACTCACTATGTAGGCCAGGGTGGCCTCTATCTCACAGAGATCCGCCTGCCTCTGCCTTCCGACTGCTGGGGTTAAAGGCGTACACCACCACGCTCGGCTTGCGTTTAAAGTTTTTTAAAACAGCTGGTTTGGTCACTATACTAAAGATTATTACCTACGTATGAACGAAAATGAAAGATGAGATTTAAAGTCATCAGTTTTAAACTCTTGAGGAAAGTTTGAGGGGGAGAATAGATAAAATGAAATCGATGGGTTTTATTATCCGTCCTGTACTCCAGTTAGCATGTCGACCCTTTATGAATTATAGCTCTTGATAACCAAAATAGCAAGAGACCAATCTTGTGTGAAGATTCTAGATGAAGAGAGTAGCAGGTGCAAAGATCTTAAGGCAGAATAACTGTAAGGTGTAGAAAAGTCATGTCTTTAGTGCGTGAATGAGGAATAAGCCATAGAAAACAAGACTGAAGGAAGTAGTGTTATAGTCTGTGATCCACAGACGCCCCAAACAGACAGACAGGTGAGTCTGGAGAAAGAAAGAAAGATTTATTACTGCCAGGCTACACTCTTTCCTAGACGGTCCCAGTGCAACCCCAAGCCTAAGCACTTTGGCTCTTTTATACTAAACTTGTTCCTGGGCAAGCAAGCAGAGTACAGAAGCCAATCATTGAGCTTAATTAAGCTTGAGCAAACATTATCAAGGAAATACATAAGAAAATACAATTTTCCACCCAAACCCCCCAGCTGCAGGGAACTAGCTTCCTCCTCTTTCATAAACTGACATTATTAATCTTACTGTTATTCTACATTGTCTTTACTGGTCACAAAGTTCTCTGGGGGTGGAGGGGTTGTTGTATAGCAGTTTTATCTTAGGAATCTCTGAATGCTATGGGATACTTTTTGTACAGAGAAACTAACCAGGAGTGAAAAGTGAAAGTTCCCAAGCATACAGGTGGAGAGTCCCCTTAATTTCTGTTCTTTTAATCAACAATTACTATTTTGCAGAAGCAAGCCAAGCATAACCTACAGAAACCATAAATCAGCAGTTAGCAGGAGCACTCTAGGATGCTGTGACCTGTTCCCAAGACAACAGGGTCCAGCTTGCATGTATTCCCATATCCTGGGCCAACCGCCTGATAATTTCAGAAACTAGAGTCAGCCTAAACTTTAACATGGTGTAGCTATGGTCAAGAAGGTGCTCTATTACACTAGAGATGATAGTGTATAATGAGCATCGTTGAGATACTAATATATGGGTCCCTGCTCCCAGAATGTTTACAAAGTAAGTTAACAAGATAATATTTCTCATATGCGAAATAGATTTGTCACGTGGATTTGGCATTATCTAGAGGCTTTGAACTGCCAGTTCTTTCTTCATCTCCACTTTTCCATTCACCACAGCTGATGTTATGTTACCTTTGCCAATATGAGTGTGTATAAGGTAGTCTTTTTCAGCTGCTTCCTCCAAGAAACTTTCTGTGAACAACAATCTTTCTATACTTTTCCCTGCACATTCTCCCTTCCAGTTCAGTGCCCCTTTTCTATGCTTTTCTTGCAAATTTTTAGATTTCTGTGAATGTTTATCATTGTCTCATGATTGTATTTTGATTATCAGCCTTTCCCATCACACCAAGCTTGCAATGAAGGGAAGAATCATGTCCCTGTATGCACTGTGTTTAGACAACTGTCACTTAGTGGCTGCTTTGTAAATGAATGAGTGCTTGAGTGGATGACAGGCTGGTCATAGAATCTCAGGAGATACAGTCATTTGATTTTGTTCTTAAATTTTTTTTTTCCTGTGATAGCTTTCTGATTATACTTTCTGATGGAAATGTTAATAGATAGCAAATTGGAAAAATAGACTTTTTGGAGTGCTATAAAATACAAAATAAATACATTTATTAGCTTCACTCAGTTTTTTACATTTTTAATTGAATTTTTGCAGTTTTCATACAAATAGTTTGATGGCATTTAGGTTCACTCCCCTCTTCTCATCCCTCCCCTACTCCCCCAGCCTAATTTAATGAACTCTCTTTATATATATAATATGACCTATAGAGTATGATTTCTGTCCCCCAATGTCCTTCATTGTAGGTCCATACACTGGGCCCACCAAGAGTCCCAGTCGTCTAAGACACTGTCTTTCTCCCTCCCAGCAGCCATCAATTGCTAAAAGTTCCTTAGATTGGGTTGGGATTTCTTAACCCACTTCTCTATGTCTGTGCTGGGATTTTGTCTGCTTTGAGCTTGCATAGGACTTACGCATGCTGTCACCATTGCTGTGAGTTCACATGAGTAACAGTGCACCTGTCCGGAAGACTGTTTCCTTGTGGCCATCCGCCCTGCTCTGGCTCTTAAAATCTTTCTGTCCCTTCTTCCACAATGATCCCTGTACCTTGGGAGGCAGAGGTTTGAAATAGCTGTCCTATTCAGGGATGAGTACTCTGTGGCCTCTTGATCTCTGCACCTTTGGCTAATTACAGGTCTCTTGTGTTAAATCACCATCTGCTGCATAAGTTTCCTTATGGTGAGAGTTAAGAGATGCATTCATCCTAAGTGCAGAGGTTGCATTGAAGATGTGTCACTTAGGATTAAGCATCTCACAGACACTTACTCTTTGCGTACAAGTTCTGGAATTCTGGTAGTCTTCATTTGTTGCAAAAAAAATAGCTTTGATGAGGGGTGAATTCATTCAGTTTTATATTGTGTTATTTTGTAAATTTAATGCAGTATTCCTATACTTGAATAAGCACCAGTTCGTAAATTTTACTTTTAAAATACCCTTGGTAATTCTGATGCTGCCGGAAACTCCTTGCATAAATATTTGTAGTTTTTGTGTGAGGTTTTAGCTGTGATATCCTCAGTGCTTATGGTGTGTGGTAGGTGCTCCATCAGTATTAGTCCTTTACTGTTGGCTGGATATATGAAGTTAGAGGTGGGCACAATCATTGTGATTTGAAAAACTATAGAAGATGTAAAATTTAAAGTATTTTTAAGGGGATACATGATGGTTATGTAGGTTAAAATCAAAGTTAAAGTAAGTCTTGATGGAAGAGATAGTGTGCAGATGAAAAATGAGAGGTAGTTTTGGGCGTCAGTAAACCTATTTGGAGCTGAGCTTCAAAATACTTTGAAGCTGAAGTGATAGTGGGACCAGAAGAGTTTGAGCTTAATTCCGTCCATCAAAAGTATCTAAAATGTATTTACTCTGTTCACTGTAGTGAGCAATTGGAACATCTATTTTTGTTTGTTTGAGGCAGAGTCTCACTATGTAACCCTGGCTGACCTGAAACTCACTATATAGACCAGATATTGAAACACAGATTAAATTGAAAGCCTTGATTTTTCTCAGTTGAAAAAAAAAGTTTTTAACAAAAACCAGGCATTTTCATCTTCCCACATGCTTGTACTAAATATTCCAGCTCAAAGGCTGTGTTGTAATGGGACACACGTCTGAAGGTTTGATGACTTCTTCAGGAGCCTTTAAAGTGCTTTGATTATAGCAGTGACATATGTTTGATTAATGTAATAATATTCTTAACTGCCAAATCAAATAGGGATTATATTACTGTAGTCCAAGTGTAAGGTAATAAGGGCTAACATTAAATTATTAGATAATATCGAAGAAAGGGAAGAATTTCAGAGTAGATGAGCATTTGAGTTTTGGTATTAGGGACTATGGAAAATGAAATTCATAAGAATGACCAAAGTTAGAACTTTATCCCACGTTGCATATAATAAACTTAACATGAAGTCAGAGAGCAGGGTAAAGTTGAGGGGAAAGAAAATGTATTTATTATTATACTTTAGATTCCTTTTTAGACATTTAAAAAGGATTTAGAATTATTTCATAAGCATTATCAACTGAGGCAACTTATTAACTGAGACTTGTTTGGCAGACTAGTTAAGAACATGGTTATAGGCAAGTTCCTTACCCTCTATTTGCCTCAGTTTCACCAACTGTAGAGTGGGAGGTAGTAATAGAACCTAACCTGTAAGGTACTATGGAGATGAAGCTAATATAAGGTATTTGGAATAGCCCCTGGAGCTTGGTGAGCTCTGTGTAGTGTTTTTCAAGCAAGTAAACATGTAGAAAGTGCCCAATATATAGTAGCTATGTGAATGATTATAATCACAATGTTGTGGACCTATCAGTGCAGGACTTAGCACCAGAGAGCATCTAGCAGAAACAGCATACAGTTAATTGAACAAACATTTGTTATGCACTTGCTTTGTGTGAGGAGTGCAAAGGAGCCCTGCCTGTGAGAAGTTACAGCCCAGCTGAAGAGCATGGTAGGATGTATAGAAGGAAAGCTGTGTGTGTATGCATTTATGTAGTCTAAGTGTGCAAGACTATGTA